TATTAAAGTTGTGTGAATGGCTGAATTCAAATAAATTATCTCTTAACGTATCCAAATCTAATTTCGTTATTTTTCATCCTTATCAACACAAACTATACCGAGAAGTAAACCTTAAAATACTTGATAATAACTCGGAGCAATTGGTATCTCTTGAACGTAAGACATATGTTAAATACCTAGGTGTTCTCATTGACGGTAATCTCTCCTGGAAGCATCATATTAACTACATTTCCACGAAAATAAGCAAAGGTATCGGTATTGTTGCAAGGCTAAGACACTTGGTACCGCTCACTACTCTTATAAACATTTACCGCTCGCTCATTGAACCGTATATTTCCTATGGTCTCGTTGCTTGGGGCCAAGCCGCCAATACTCATCTAAACAAAATCGTCATTTTACAAAAGCGGGTTCTTCGTCTAATGTACTTTTCCGATTATACATCTCACAGTGCTCCTCTTTTTAGTCGTTCGGGAATTCTACCGATAAAAATGCTTTACTTCAAATTGGTTGCCTCTCTGTTACATGACATCAAAAATCGCTGTGCTCCTCCCAATATTTCTGAACTTTTTACTCACTCTGAACAGGTTCATTCCTACTCTACTCGTTTCTCAGTAGCTGGAAGCTTTTATATAAAACAGGCGAGAACAAATCATCAGTTGTTTTCCTTTTCTAGAGTTGGTGCGAAAATATGGAATGGCATCCCCCCTGAAATTCGTAAGCTAAGGAAAGCACCTTTTAAACGTGAGCTAACTCACTTGCTTTTGAAAATTCTTGAAATTGAGGAGATGAATGTTGACTTGCGCTACCTTGACCTTTCTAGCTTATATTTGTATTTCAACTGATTAGCTTTCTCTTTGACCTGTTAAAAACTCCCTTGTGTGACTGGCCCAGTTAAAACCTTTAACATGATTATCACTACTATTATTTATAATTTATTTTTATTTGCTCATTTATTTATTTATTTCATTGTTGCGTGTATGTGTGTGTGTGTGTGTGTGTATGTGTGAGAGCCTATACAGTGTCAGTTTAGGTAGACCGCCTAGAATAGCTTTGCTAACTGCGGGCTACAAAAGCCTGAGCCTTTATTTCTTTAATTTTACAAAAATAAAGTCAATGTTGTTGTTGTTGTCCTCCTCGATAGCAGGTTTGTGTGAAACATCTTCTTTGCCACTTTGCCTAAGACTTTTTATTCGTGTATTTATCATCAAGTTTGATATTGAAAATCTTGGATCAGTGAAAATTTTTAGCCCTCTTTTTAAAGGAGGGGGGCGGGGGGCATTGAGGTATCTTTCTATAGAGTGACGGAATCCCAGTAAGGTAGATTTGCTGTAACCTTCGTCCTTTTTCGTTCTGGCCCTTGCATAGAACCCTCGTAGATTTTGATCTGGCAGGCCGATTTTCATAGTCTCAAGTGGGAATTGCACAAGCTGAAATTAACAGAAAAGGAAACGGTCTATCAAATCTGCTTTTTAAAGACCTTGAGTCTGAATTCATTTTAACCTCTTATCATGGTAAACGCTCTTTAACAAAGCAAATTCAAAACGTTTCGTCAACATTGTTTACGTACAACATTAAATGGGTTTCCACGGTTACAGATATTTTACTGAATAGTAAAGTCTTCAACAACTAACTTCGTCTTATTTTTAGCATTACGTGGAAACTTCCTAGGCATTTCCTCTTTTCTGGTAGAAAAGACTCCAGCCATTATTTAAGAAACAATTTCTTACGAAACATTTGCTTAATTGGAAACATTTGCCAACGTCAGCAGCGTACACCCATGGGCAATTAGTAGACACTGATTTGACTGATCAGAACGCGTTAAATCCCTTCCACCACGATTGGTCTCTTTCGTGATTATTGTGGTAGACGAGTTTTGCCACCCATGCGCGGGCGCGCAGGAACATAGCGTGATGCGCAGCCCGTGTGCGCGGTGACAATAGCAGGCATCGCTTTAATAGTGGACAATAAGACACCAAAATGCCATTAAAACGAAATAAATTTAATTCGGTTAGATATCATCATTCGCATTATTCAATCATTATGCTTTCACTATCTAATAACGTTTTCAAAATTTTTCTTAGCTCCTGATACAATTGCTTTAAAGGTTTGCTGTGTTTGCATAGTTTCTCTTTTATCTCAACACCTGACAGGAACTTGACAGCGCCTTTCCTTAGTTTTGAATTACAGTTTGTTTCTATCGCACCATCATCCAGATTGGTTTGTTCAGATAACAGTACCCCGCAATGCATTTCAAGCCAAGAGCGCGGCTGTCGTCAGAAGTTACGTAGTTGTTCGAGCCGTCAGTATGATCCCACATGTCAATCCACCTGTCAGTACCACCAAAGTTTTCAGATATCCCCCTGTCTGAGAAGAAGTGCCAACCGGATATTGTGACAAACCCAGTAGAGGGATTCCTCTTATTGTGGTCTGCCGGGCTGTACTTGTAAAAACCATGGATACTCCTTATCTCACGATAAGCTGTCCCCATCAAGAACTTCTCGAAGTCTGTTTTGTCTTTATTTGGAGCGCCCGCTTTCCTATTGTAAACAACCCGGATGGTGTTGACGTCACTGAACCGGAACATAACTTCTTCCCAGTCCCTCATGTCAGGGTGAATGTGACTCGCCGTATCTGCGTCTGTGGTTTTTGCTGCCGATACTGAGAATGCTGTTTTGATAAAGGATATGCTTTGGGACACCCTCGTGGCAATTAGTGTCCAACCTCCACCCTCGGTCTCCATGTCGCAAAAAGCTTGGAAAGAGTCATTTGTTGAGCCTCCGTTTGGATCGATCCAGTAAAGTCCATTACCCCGACGTTGACCTGAGAGAATGAAAAGTGATCAGGAATAATATTAAAAATTAAACCAAAATAAATTTTTGTCTTGATGAAGAGAAACGTTCGCACTCCCCTTTTTCTTCATAAGGACACGTTATTTTTTTTAATCAAATGATTGATTCGCTCAATCTCAAACTCACCCGCTTTTAAAATGTCGAGACAGTGACGTCCTGGTTCAGTAGCGACCACACCAATCAGCATTGATAGCCAAACTTTACCATTGCACCGTTCTGAGGCCTTTCGGGAAGGATTGTAGCGAACAGTGCCAGTAATGCTCGTTGTACATTTTTCACGCTAAACGCAAAAATGTGTGATAACAACAGGTTCATGAAGTCGATTTTATGTAGAAAACATTTGGTTTGGGGTGAACATGTTTTACTTTTAAGGGGCGAACTTATGACGGGACATGATTTATGTCAAAAATAGAGCAAGGCTTATTTCCGCATTTTATGGACTTGATTACTGGCTACATGTATTCATTGCAATTTCCTTTAAAAAGGTTTAGAATCTTTTCTAACAAGGTCTAACTGTTTTTGTTTATCAGGGCTCTTCGAGGCTTCTTTCCCGGATGCAAACATCGGCAGCTTTCTCTCCAGTTTGTCGTAAGATCCTTAAATTCCATAAAACTCTAAGGACATAAGTTAGGTAGAATGAGGTTGATGTCTTAGAGGTAGAAAACATTCTAAAAAGAATCAAGCCACGATTTTAGATAAAGATTCAAACAATGAGCCACAAGTAATTATTGATGCGCTAAGACAGATTTAGCTTACCATTACTCCGCTGTAAATGAAATCCTTATCCTCGTTAAAGTTAGTCGATCCAACAAATCGATCAGAGTCGCTTAGCTGACACTTGAATTTCTCTGAGTCGCCCTTCATGGTTCCAAAGTTATAAGATTGACATTGCTCTTCGTCCACACACTCAAGCTGACAGGAACTTTCCGAATCCACTTCTATTTCTCTAATCAGGCTTCCGTTCAGCTTCTGTCCTTCTATCTTGTCCGCAAAGTTAACAGCCCTCAGATCTGGCTCTGAAATGCGGCTTATGCCATATACAACGGCACAAAGTAGAAATGCAATACAGAGATGCATGTGTAGTCTTCAGCGTCAGAAAGTGTATTATGAAGAAGAATACATGCTTCACTTCTGGTGCCTAACTAGGTGAGCAGGTGCAATGAAATTGACCGATTGAAAACGATACAGGCTATTTGATATGATGCTTTTAAGGTGACCATAAGCTTAGGCCTGGTATCAAATTTCTTTCAACTCTTATAAGGATGCACTGTTGTCTCTTTCACTTAGACTATTTTACGCAGAGGGAGGTATGATTCATCTATTTTTCGTTCAAAAAGCCGAAATAAATTATAAAATGAGTTGTTAGTATTACCTAATATTCTCAACCAGATGAACGAAATTTTAAATTGTCTTTCACAGATATTTAAATATTCAGAAACACTGACTCTTTCTTCATCAAAATTTAATGGCATCTTTCAGATCCTCTTCGAAATATGAATTCTGTTAAGGTAAAAGTGAGAATCTAAACGTTTCTTGCATTCGAGTTACCCAATATTTTTAAGTCAGCTGCTAATTCAAGCCATTTTAAACTGGTTCATTAATTTTATATTTCACGGGAAACAAGGTACTCTGTCATAGCTCTCTGTGTCTACTATATTTCCCGGAGCCCCTTTTCACTTTTGAGTATTTATTTCCCTTAACGCTGTATTGCAGCGTTCTAATTAGAACATAAAATGATGAAAAGACAAATGAATATATATCCATTATTCTTTGCACATATTTCAAATTTCCACTCTTTTTCTCTTACTAATTAAACTTCTTTAATTTATTTTTCAAATGTCATCTTTATGCAGACTTGTGTTGCCCAATTGTTTAACCCTCAAGTTAGAAATGAGAGCATTTAAATTGAATACATGAATAAAGGATATGCTGCATTAGCTGTCTATTTAATAAAATTTTTCGTCTTATTTAATTTATACCTTTTACGACAGAAATCATTTAAATCGCAGCAAAGCGTTCAAGACTGTTTAAGGCAATAAGAGAATGTTTTTAACATGAGCCACCGGCTCGGAAGATTCGGCAACTACTTCCTACATTTTTGATTTTAAATAAAATATCATTAAAGCCATTATCATTAAAATATGTTCAATGGACAAGTGAGACAGAAGAAATCATAAAATTTAATTAAAATCCTAACACGAGCCTCCCGGTTCGCTCAATTGGTTAGAGCGCCGGACTGTTGTGCCGGAGGTCGAGGGTTCGAGCCCCGGCCGGACCAACACTCAAGGTCTTAAAATAACTGAGGAGAATGTGCTAGTCCTCTCGGATAAGGACGAATACTCAGTAGGCCCCGTTTCCTGCATCTATTAATTGGTTAATTTGGTTAGGCAGGGGACGTTGAAAAATGCCAGAAGTATACAGATTAAGGTGTTCGACTTGCAGGCTTTACTGCTTTCTGATTGCGCGGATATCATTGCTATGACCGAGACCTAGCTTGATGATAATTTTCAAGATTCTGAACTGCATCTTAATGGTAACGATATCTTTAGGAAGGATAGGTGTGATCGTCGTGGTGGTGGAGTGCTTTTGGCCATCAGAGATCAGATTTCCTGTATATATAGGACAGACCTGGAAACGGAATCTGAGACGCTGGCTCTTGAATTCCACCCAAATCCTACTTGTAGTATTCTTCTCTCGGTGGTTTACAAACCTCTTAATGCAGATGAATCATTTTTGGCTGATTTTAGATATTCAGGCACGGGTTTGACAAACTTAGTGATCGTAGGAGACTTCAACTTTCCTAACATCAATTGGAACCTCGGATGCCCCACTGTGTCTCGGACCCTGAAACTGTGGAGTTCTGTAATGACCCGGATGATTTCTTTCTTCAGAAGAATAACCTTCATGTGACCAGTAATACTACTAATCCTGGCTCCCATGGGAATACCCTTGATCTTGTGCTTACCAATAATGAGTTTCTTATAAAAGACGTCTTGGTGCATCCAAATGAGTTTGACTCTGATCATTCCCTTTAACATTCAAGTTACATGTTAAGAAAACAAGGCCAAAACATGCTCAACGTAAAGTATATTGTTACAGAAAAGGAGATTTCAAAGGTTTGCGAGAGACATTAAGAGCTCTGCCTTAGGACCAGGTAACATCAGATACTAGTATTGATACTAGCTTAGAGAAATTCCAGAACATGTTATTTTGCGCTAGTGACCAGCACATTCCACAAAGAACTCTGAAACGGCGTTCTAGGCCTCCTTGGATTGATAACGAAATTATAAAATTGATTAGAAAGAAGAAGAAACTTTGAAAACGTTTGAAAACTAATGGATCTGCTGATTTTTTTCTGAAATTCAAGGATCTTAGAAGGATGACTAAGAAGCTTATTAATTCAAATTACCAATAGCATCTTCAGTCTTTGTCTGAAAAACTCCAAAAAAATCCCAAGCATTTCTGGGCATTCTATTCTACTAAATCTAAGAAAAAACGAATTCCGGAAACTGTTATTTATGGAGACACCAGGTCTAGAGACTTGAATTCTAAGGTGGAACTATTTAATGTGTTTTTTCAATATGTGTACCCTAAATCAACAACTGATGTCAATCTGTTGGTCACAGATGTTGTTAACCCAAACTTGTTATTTTAAACTATAACAACGGCTCCAGACCTTGACGGAATCGTAAGTAGGATCAACATAAACGAGGCACCTGGTTTGGATAACTTACCTGCTCGTATCTTACGTACTTGTGCAAAAGAGCTCTCTTACCCACTTGCGAATTTATTTAATTTATCCCTGAGGGCAGGGAAAATTCCCACCTTATGGAAATCAGCCAATATTACCCCAATCCACAAGGATGATAGTAAGAAGCACTTAACCAACTACAGATCAATCTCTTTATTGCCAATCCCGGCCAAGTGCTTGGAGCCTATTTTACATTCTGCTATTCATTTATTTATCTCACCATTTTCAACTGATTGGCAACATAGTTTTGTTAAAGGTAGATCTTGTGAGACTCAACTGATTTTAACCCATCATGAATGGGCTACTGCCCTTGATGAAGGAAGACAAGCTGATGTAGTCTTCTTACACTTTTCCAAAGCCTTTGACAAAGTAAACCACTCAGTTTTGTTGAAAAAGCTGTGCAACTTTGGGATTATTGGATCATTATCACAATGGTGAGAAAGTTATTTAACCAATCGTCGACAGAGAGTTGTGCTGGATGGTATATCCTCTTCCTGGTCTAATGTCTCATCTGGAGTCCCTCAGGACTCTTTATTAGGGCTTTTATTTTTGGTCATATTTATTAGTGACCACCATGAAGTTGTTCTTCGTGGCAGTACGAAAAATGAAAGATAAGAAATGGTTAGATATTCTAGTCCTCTCGGATAGGGACGAATAAATGGAGGTCCCGTCTCCTGCAGGGTTAAGGGTAGGAGACGTTAATTTCCCATGCACGAGATTACTGTGTGGTGGATGTCCTCCCCTGGGGTGGGATGGGTGGGTTTACTGGGTTCGCGGTAATTGGCGCAAGCTGCCGCGTTGTCCCTGCCTTTCGGCGAAGTTAAATAAATAAAACTTCTAGTTTCTTCCTGGAAACTTCTGGATTGGAAGAGGTCACAGAGTTTAAAGACTTGGGAATTATTACTAATCAACACTTATAATGGAACCTACACATTTATTACGTTGTATCCAAGGCCAACAGAATGCTTGGCAATAAGAAATAGTACACAAACTGCAGTTACAAACATGACAGTAAAACGCATGTTGCAAAACAAGATTAGTAAACTTTACTTCACGTTTCGTATGTTTCGATAGACATCTTCAGAAGTGACAGTTAATAATACATGTGGCGACTAAGTTTAAATTTAAGATAAGTAACTAATTAACAAAACAACGAACAAAAGTTGAGAAGAAAAAAAAACAAAAAAATTTGCATATAGAAAGATGCAAACTAATACAGATAAAGCTTATCGCTGGTGACATTATCGTTTAGAGTAGGTTTAAGTTCTTGAATTAATAGTCTCCTTTATCTTGTAATGAGTATCAGAACGACCTTTTGTTAATATCTCAAAGTGGTCCCATTTCATTTTGCGTAAGTACTTACAACTACAATCTGCAATCTGGCATCATATCTTGTACGCATGCTCCAGCCCATCTCCAGGAATCAGTTCACTATCAAGGACTCTCAGTTTCGCGGACTAGGCTAAGACATATAACCATAACAATGAAATCGTGCTCGTTTGACATTAGTTCTTTGTTCAAATTTTCTAGGACCTCTATGTAAACCACTATTTTGATGGAGCTTCCTAATAAAAGATTGTTATTATTATTTAATTTGTTCACAAACGTTCCGCTAGATGAGACAATTCAAATTTGTCTAGACAAATTGTACGCTCTCTCCGATCCCCCAACAATGCCCCGCTCAGTCTTAAAAGTTCTACTTGAGTTTGCCACAAAGAAGAGCAGCTTCATATTTAATGGTCAATACTACGACCAAATTGACGGCGTGGCTATGGGCTCTCCTTTAGGTCCCATTTTGGCCAACATCTTTATGTGTCATTTTGAAGAGAAATGGGTCCTTAGCAACAACGCTCACCCTTCAGTTTGGTTTCGATACGTCGACGATACCTTCACCATATTCGACAATAAAAACACAGCAACCCAGTTTCTTCACTACCTCAATAACTGTCACGCAAATATCAAATTCAGCGTTGAATTTGAAGAGAACAGTACAATCCCTTTCTTAGACATCCTCATCAAACGAAACGATCACACTTTCTCGACATCTATTTACCGAAAGAAGACATTTACCGGCCTGTACACAAAATGGGATTCCTTCACACCATGAAAATACAAAGTAAAACCTCATCCGCACACTCACTTTTCGTTGCTTTCGCATCTGTTCGTCACCTTCTCTTTTGCGATCCTGTCTGGGTGAACTGAGCAAGTTGTTGCTACAGAATGGCTATCCTGCTGGAGTTGTAAATTACAACATCAATGATATTTTGATCAGACAGCAAAACAGACCGATTAATCCAACCACCACAGTTCCCAAAAGGAAAACAATCTTAGTTTTACCTTTTTAGGGATGCAAAGTAGAATTGTTACCAAACAACTTAAGACCTGCATTAAT